ATATGTCCAGTTGTCATTGACAGAGAAATTTAACCAAAGAAATTCAGAGGAAACTTCAATAAATTACACTGGAGCAATAAGTTCTCTAAGCCACAAATGAAGGAGAAGGGAGGGAGGGATCATTTTTCATTTAATTAATTTAAAATATATAGATCTACATATAAATTGTAAAGTCATAAGCCTTATAAAAGAAAAAGGAAAGGCATCAAATCTGAGAGACAGCCGAATAATTCTTAAATGTAATATGGAAAATGAAAGCCAGAAAGTGGTGAAAAGCCATGTACCCAAAGATTTTTATCAAGAAAAAATTTAAAGTTCTGAAACTTTAATTTTAAAAGAGGCCAAACACATGAACAAACATTTGTCAAAGAAGATAAGGAGATGGAAATAGTCACCTAGGGGAAATGTTCAACATCACTGTCATCAATGCATGATGTGTGCATACACACACACACACACACACACACACACACACACGAAGAGCACAGACATTATCACTACACTACTATCAGGAATACTAAAATAATGTAAATTAGCAACAATGATCACAAGACCACTCAGTTGATGTGGGAGTCCCCTCTGTGTGCTGTGATTACCATTAATGAATAAAGAAACTGCTTTGGACCTATAGCAGGGTGGAACTTAGGTAGACGGGGAAGATGAAACTGAATGCTGGGAGAAAGAAGGGCAGAGTCAGGGAGCCGCCATGGAGCCGCCTGCAAAGATAGATGTGCTGAAACTTTGCTGGTAGAACACAACCTTGTGGGGGTGATATACAGATTAATAGAAATGGGTTAAATTAATAGGTAAGAGTTAGCCAATAAGAGGCTAGAGCTAATGGGGCAAGTAGTGATTTAATTAATACAGTTACTGTGTGATTATTTTTAGTCTAAGCTAGCCAGGCAGCCAGGAACCAACAAGCGGCTTCCTCGCAACACTCAGGGGCTAAAAGGAGCTTGCCACACAAGCCAGATGATTTGAGTTCAACTCCCAGAACCCATGTGGTGGATAAAGAGAACTGAATTTACAAAGTTGTTCTACACACACACACACACACACACACACACGTGTATACCTCTTCACAACGATGATAATGATAATAATATAATCTATAATATATTAGGTTTTACTCACAAGGAGGTAGAGACTAGACGTTGAGTACATTGCTAAGCGAAAGGATGAAATGGCACAACCACACTGAAAATCTGGCCCCAAATCAATGGCGGAGAGGTCCTGGGTCCTACGGTAGAAGCTGCCATTGCTATTTCCTAAACAGTCAAACTTCCTTCCAAGTATTTATGTCTATGCCCCTAGACACAGTGGATATTAATCAGCGCAGAGACACACACTGAAAATAAAAGAGTTCTCAGTCCTAAGTGGGGCATCTTTATCAACACTCCTATCAAGTTCTGGAGAGTAACCTAGATTTTTGGGAATAGCCTGTAATGTTTCGAAGGTTCTGTGGGACAGCTCTAAAGGAGATAACCCATATCTAGCACTGAGCTTTTTATTTGATTGATAGTCAATAGCGTCTGGGATAGCTCCTTTCCCTTTTATATATGTACGTATAAAATACAAAATCCGGGCCGGCACAAAAAATAAAGTCTATTTCCTTGTTTCGTAGTCACTTTTCAAGCAGCCAATACAACATCTCAGCGTCCTCTGATTTCTACAAAGGCAGCATACAATTTATGCCATAAACGCATGCATCCCTTGGCATTGACTCTCAATGGTCAAAAGTGTAGGACTCAGACCAGCAGGGGGCGAAGAAGCTCTAGGGACAGCTAAAGAAGGCTCACAGGCCAGGGTGAGGCAAGAGCAGGCGGACCTAAGAGGACTTGAGGCTGTGCAGGCGTGAGTGCACGAGTGCGCCAGTGTGGGTGTGCCAGTGCCTGAGCGGGCCGGAGGAAGACGAGCTCCAAGCTAGGGCTGCGGACTAGGCTGGCGCAACGCTCAAAACAGACAGAAGGACGGACGGACAGGCAAACAGAGACTGCAAAATAGGGGCGTTGCCAGGGAGGGGCGACTCCTTCTGGAAGGCACCGAGCCAAGCCGCAGGGAGGGGGAACAGTGCCGCCGCGGTAGCCGCGCTCCGCACCGAGAGGGCGATCCACGCGGACGCCCGCGGAGCCCGAGGCGCAACTGGTGCGAGGCGGGTGCAGCAGCGCCGCTCGGGCCGCGCGCCCCCGGGTGGCTTTGCAAGGCGGGGCGGCGAGAGCACAGGGCCGGGCCTTTGCATGAAGCCACTGGACCCTTCGGAGCAGCGGCGAAGCCCGGCGGAGCGCGGTCGGAGGCGGGCGGCCCCGGGGTCCGCGTCCCGGTGCCTTCGCGGCTGCGGACTCCTTCATGGGCCGCAGCTGAGGCTGCCCGCGGCGGCGGGGCGCGGGGCGGGGGGCGCGGTCCAGGCCCGGAGGCGGCGGCGCCGGAGGAAGCGCAGGAGACCGGGCCCGGGAGACGGGCAGCGGCTCGCCACAGCCCCGGGCTCGCCATGCTCCTGGCCTCGGCAGTGGTGGTGTGGGAATGGCTGAACGAGCACGGCCCCTGGCGTCCCTACAGCCCGGCCGTGAGCCACCACATCGAGGCGGTGGTGCGCGCGGGTCCCCGCGCCGGGGGCAGCGTGGTACTGGGCCAGGTGGACAGTCGGCTCGCGCCCTACATCATCGACCTGCAGTCCATGAACCAGTTCCGTCAAGACACGGGTGAGCCGCCCACAGCCCTTGTCTATCCCGGGAGCTGCCACATTCGTGGTCTTGGGTTGTGGGCAGTTTCTCTTACTGGTGTCCCCGATCGGTGTTGAGGGCAGGTGCTTTCCTTTCCTAGATCCTGTCAGGATCCCATGACCATCTCCAAATAAATGTCCTTCCAAGTAGTGTCTTGATTAAGCAAGCTCAGCTACAGCTTAACAGTACCCCCTTTTCAGTACCTGGCGGCTCTTTGTGCAGGACTTCTAGGACTTTGCAGGCCCCCAAGCAATGCTTCCTTAGCAAGCAAAAACATTGCTGGAGCCCCTTGGCTGCTCACATCTTGGCTGACCCTGCTTTGTCTCAAGCACCCTTGTTGCTACCACATATTCCCCTTTTAACCTTACTGTCTCCGGCCCTCCCCTGTGGACCCAACTTTCCCAGTGTCTACTCCTGGGTGTAAGACTTGGGGAGACAGAGTGATCTTCTGACTCTAATTGTAGCCTAGTATGTAGAAGTGTGGGAATGTTCCTAGGAAGAGAGAATGAAGCCAGGGGTTCCGGGGCTGGAACATCCTGGATGTGGTGGCATTCACAGATACCTCTGCTTGTATACTCCAAGTACTGAAGCAACAGACCAGAGCAGGAGTAGAAAGGATGGGGGACTGGGCTCTGGAAAGCCTAGCAGGGAAGCTGCTCCCTTTGTTCCCAGAGCAGGGAACAGACGACAGAGTAAACAATAAAGAAGGAATGGAACCAGCCTAAGTGGAAACAAAAGATGAATGGATAATGAAAAGGTGGTACACATATACAGTGGAATTTTATTCAGCTGTAAAGGAAAATGAAATCCTGTAACTTTAGGGGGAAAATGAATGAATATGGGAATTAGCAAAAAACCAAAATCCACATTTAGACAGAACGCACGTGAGTCTCTCATATTTCAGACTCCAGTTTATAAAGAATGTCTGTATGGATATAAGTTGGGGTGAGTGTGATTGTAGGCTCTGAAATCAGAAAGGAGCATGAGAAGGGAAAGGGATGTTGAGGAAGCAGGGGTCAGCACAAGGACGCGAGTGTGGAAGGGAGGTTGTATAAGGGTCCAGGGAGGGACGAGAGGGCAAGAGGCATGAGAGACAGGGGAAGAGAGCCAAGATAAATTTTATCTGGAAATGGTGCAATGAAACCTAATTCTGTGTGTGTGCAACGAAACCTAATTCCGTGTGTTAATTATTAATTAAAAATAAAAGTACAAAAATTGAGAAGTATGTACAAAGATGCCTCTCGTGTGGTTTTTCTTTAATAACAGTAAGACTTTGGAAGCATCCTAAATTTCCAAAATTTGGTTGAATAAACCATGGAATTTCTGTGACATAATTCTTTTATGCAAGCATTAAAGTGAAGTCTAAAAATATGTTGCTTTCCCCTTCCTGATCACCTTCCCTCCTCTCCCCTTCCTGATCCCCTTCCCTCCTCTCCCCTTCCTGATCCCCTTCCCTCCCCTCCCCTCCTCTTCACCCTTTGAGACACAGTTGCAAAGTTCTCAGATACCTCAATACCCAGATTTCTTGCTAGTTCAATGGCTTCACTCAAGGGACGTTACATCAAATTTTGAACCCAGAGGCACTGAGTTCAAGGCTTTTGTGCTTCAGTGGGATTTGTATAGTGTTGATAGTGTTGTACTTTGCAAGAGTAAAATTAGAAAGTGATCCAAACTTTGCTCTGCTAAGGACCACAAGGCGTGTGAAATTTCTGTGTAGCCTTTGATTTCTGGATCCTGCCTGACTCTACAAACATGAGCTGTTTTCAAAACACTGAGCAGCAAAACATTGGCTAAAGTTGCTTAGCCAAGACTTTACACTTGAGAGATGTTTGCTGGTAGAGTGCTTGTCGTGTAATTAAGAGGACCTAATCTAAGTTCTGATCGCCGGCACCCAGTTAAACTTGGGGCACAAGCTATACATGTTTGTTATCCCAGTACTAAGAAGAGGAGATAGGAGGAGCTCTGGGGCTTTGCTGCCCAGCCAGTCTGACCAAATTAGAAAGTTCTAGATACAAAAAATAAGGTAGGGAGTCATTGAGGAAGACACCTAACATTGATCTCTGGCTTCCATATGTATACACACAGTCATGAGCACTCCCTCATATGCAGAGGGACATGTACACACACACACACACACACACAATTATATTTAAGTAACAATGATCACCTTCAGCTATGCTGAGAAAAAACAAAACGTATTTACCTGAAGCCAGTAAAAACTACAATGATAAGAGATGTACAAACAGGAAAATGATCTGTCTCTGAGAAAAGGGATAATTATTCTGTTTTGTGGAGATACATATGCACACATATACATATATACACTTATATATGCATACATATACACACATTCCACATATATCCATACATATAAGTAAATATATTGTGGCAAAGTCTGCATAACACTTTTAATTACTGTAAGCGTGCACTGTAGTAGTGTTAAATATATTGACTGTATTTTTCAACTATCCCCATTATCTATACCCCTACCTATATCATCATTCCCCGACGTGAACTCTGTACCTACTGAACAATAACTTTTAACTTCCTCAGCTCTTGGTAACCTCCATTCTACCTTCTGTGCCTGGGGATTTGCCTACTCTACACAGATATCCTAAGTGGGATCATATGCTATTTCTCACCTGTGTCTAGCTTATTTCATTTAATACAATGTATTCAGATTCATCCATATTATAGAACATATCAAACTTTTATATCTTTATGGCCAAATAATATTCTATTGCATGTTTATACCCACACATCTCCTAGCTCCTGGTCTGCTGGCTTCAGTTTCTGAGTGACAGTGGGATTTCTGGGAGCAGAAAGTTGTCCACTCTTTTGGAAAAAAGCCCCAAATGTATATTACTAACTTCCCAGTTACAGAGAGGATTCTGGAACAAGGACCACCCAGAGGGAGGGGCCTGATCTCATACTGTTTTGAGTTTGGCACACATGTTCTAAGAACTTCCGCTCAAAAGCTTCCCAGAAACTGGATCAAAGCACCCCTTAGTTTACGTACTCTGAGGGCAAGCTGTATTTCCGGCTGACGTCTGTGGGGACCGAAAGAGGAGACAACATTGCAGGTGAGGACAAGGAGAAGTGGACACTGGGGGACTTGCCATCTCCTTTTGACCCGCTACTGAAGGGGACACATCACAATATTCCTGTTGAATGTGGATAGAAATCGTTATAGCTCGTTGGTGGTGAGATGTATGTCTGGGGAGAAATGTACAGAGCAGTTTGCTGGTATCTGTGAGAAATGCTTGATTGAACGGAGGCAGGGCTTATTGTGAATTGGAAAATACAAAGAAACTGAAAGCTTGCTATTTGTAGTTCTGTGACAGAAAATGTAATTGAGGCTGGGAGGAAGTGTGCTAATTCAGGAGGTGTTATCAGTTGATATATATATATATGTGTGTGTGTATATATATATACAAATATATATATCAACATATACGTATATTAATGTGGGCATATGCAAATATTATTTTGTAACATACTAAAGTAGTCAAATTTCTTTGGGCTACTAATATCCAAATAAGTGAATCTCCCTGTTTAAAATCACTTTGAAAAATATGCTAACACTTAGAAAATGTGAATTACTTATTCAAAACCATAAAAACATATGTATTTTAAAATCCTTATTATAATGCAACTAACTATATTATTAAGGACTTTTCATTTAAAAATATTTGCATGTCATATATATGAATGTACATAAAGGGTGATGTGTCTGTATTTGTATAGTTTTTCATAAATAATTTTCTTCATGGATTTTTTGGGGGGACAAATTCCAAATATTGAAATGGTTTCGTAAGGAGTTTCCAAATACCATTTCCAAGAGGACTTTGCCCATGGCCAGCACTGGCAGCTCACCAAATGAGTGCCTGTTCCCTCTCTCCCTGTACTAGCCGAATAACATGTTTCGGTTGCAGGGTGCGGATGCACATGTGCAGAAGCTGGTTCCAAATGTGCCCAGCAATGCTCACTATTATTCCTGCCGTGCTCTGGCATCAGACTCCAATTTGCTTCTTATTTGCATGAAATTTCTGAGGTGCTTCTACTTGAATGCCAGATTGGCCTCTGGGAATGCCTCTCTTCTACTATCTTGTGTCTTTCTGGGACTTGGAAAAGATGCTATCTGCTAAAAATCCCCATTCTTTTCAGTAGCTGGCTTTCAGTAGCTACTTTGTCTCAGACTCTTGGGGCTGCTCAAACCAAATTTCATAAGAGAGCAAGCTCATAGACAGCAGCAGCTTCGCTTTTGACGGTTCTGGATGCTGGGAGGTCCAAGTCCAAAAAAGCTGCAGTGATGCCAGGAGGCAACCTGTTTTCCAATTCAGACATGGTGTTCTTGTTGTGTGTCCTTGAGGCCTAGTTCCAAAGTCTCACCTTTCAGTATATAAAGAGTGACTGTTAGAATTTCAACACATGGATAGAGGGAGGTCGTAAATATTCATGCTGAATGAAGAATGAATCCTTACACCAGGTGAAATGAGAAAACTTGGAATAATATAAATACTTCATTTTTTTATTTAATAGACTTTGGCAATTGTCAACTAAATAAAAATTATGTTTCGTGATTGTTCTACTATTTTGTATTCATGATTTATCAGTAGTATTTCTGGAGAGCAAAGTTAATAACACTCAATAGTAAGAGAAGTAATATCCTGTGTAGTATATTGGTTTTAATAGATCTGTCCAATTACTAAACCCGAAATGTTGACACGTATTACAAAGTTTCACAGTCTGATTACTACACTGTTAGCTCATGATAGTAATGGTAATATTTATTATTGGCTCTGTTCTCATGCACTATAGATATTAACTCATTAAATTACTATACAAATATAGAGGTCAGGTACTATGATTATCTCTTATCCATGAGGAACATGGAGTAAAGAGAAGATACACACACAGACACACACATATATGTATATGTATATATATACACATATACATAAATATATATATATGTAATTGTGCGGTTATCAGCAGTCATCCAGCTGTCATTTTGTTGAACCTAGACCTCAACTCAGATGACCTAGAATTTTCTCTTAGGAACTGTGCTATTCTGACAATCTGTCAATTTTTATCTGACAATGTTGTGGGCATTTTGGATGAGAACAATAAATAATTTGAGGATATATCCCAGAGGAGTCCCCAGCAGGGAAGGGCAACTGTATTCTATTTTCACAAGGCTTGAGTATCCACATTCCTGACTTCAGGACCCATAGCAACTCAACTTTTAACAATAACTTCTCTTTCCAGATGGCATCCAGATGCTGTTCTCTAAATCTCATTTGTCTCCTTCATAACTGGATTTGAATCCAGTGAGGACTGTTAGTTTGTCCACAGGATAGAACTGCCTGTCCCCCACCTGGTTTACCTTTAGGACGTGCCTTCTGTTTCTTTCCCCTATCAGGGATCTGTGCTTCTGTAGCGGTGTTCTGCTTGCATCTAATCAGTGGTCATCCATCTTCATCTCTGACTGTGAATTTCCAAAGCTCTTCTTTTCTTGAGTAATTTGTCTTCTTATTCTATCATTTTCCTGCTTATATAGAGCCACCTGACCTAGAAACTTAAAATAAGGCATTGAAGGTAGTGTTACAGTAATAAAATGAAGAAAAATCAGGGGTGCACAGCATAGTTTTATGATAAAGACATGTTCCAGGGAACATTCTGTGTGGAAAAGAGAGACCACAGATAAGGTTAATAGACCTGAACTTGGTGGCTAAAAGAAGAACCACTTTAGAAGGGGTGCAGATTTATCTCTGGTATGAAACTCACAAAGCCCTGGGCTCTGTCAATGGAGCATTGAAGAAGAGTACAGAATTAAGTGAATTCTCCCAAGCCTTCCTTTGCTTCAGTGGTTCGGGTTGAGATTTTTTTCTATGTCAGGGTATGTTGTATGAGAGCAGAGTAAAAAAAATAAATAAAAAATTTCTACATAGAGAGCTCAAGGGTAAGTTAAAAGCCTGTCATTGCCCATACATAATTGATGAATAAACATAGGTAAGGGATCACACATGGAAGATTCATTAGTCCAAGCATTTCCCAACATCTTAAAGCAATAAGATCAAAAGACAAGTGAGATCTTTGGTCATTGAAGCCAATAAGAGCAAACTCATCCAAGCACTGTTTATGCAGATGTAGTATGGAGAGGAGCGGGCTGCGTTCCGCCACCCAGCTAGCTTACACCCGAAATAATTACACAGAAACTCTACTCATTTAAACACTGCCTGGCCCATAAGCTCTAGCCTCTTATTGGCCAACTCTCACATCTTGCTTTAACCCATATCTAGTAATCTGTGTATCACCATGAGGTCATGGCTTACCGGGAAAGATTTAGCACATCTGACCTGGTTGCTGGCTCCATGGCAGCTCTCTCTGACCCTGCTTTCTTCCTCCCAGAATTCTGTTCTGTCTTTCCTGCCTACCTAAGTTTCTGCCCTATCAAAAGGCCAAGGCAGTTTCTTTATTCAACCAATGAAAGCAACACATAGAACGACCTCCTACACCATGCAGATATATATTGTCTTGGATCATCTAAAGAACCAGTGTTTCAAAGGGTCAAACAAAAGAATGGAAATCCCTGAACCTAGTTACCAGAGAGCTAGAAGTCAGAGTAAACAGAAGGAGCCAGCTGGAACTAGTTCCTAAACACTGATAAGTAAGTTCATGGACACCCAAAATAGGCCAAGGGCCACTTAAAATTGCCAAGAAAGTGGAAGGAACAGAGAGGAAATGATCTAGGATAAAGGTGGCTTTGTCTTGAAAGATAGAGTTGTGCAAACTGTACACCAAAGTCTAGCTGCTATTCAAGTCCAACAAGATGGCTTTTCCTCAGTTCCTAACAAGATACCCAGTGGTTCCATGGGGGCATGGTCACTAGTGTGCTTTCTAACAGCCTGATCTGCTCAATGGTTGTTATGCAGGCTTCTTTAAGGTCTTTACAGATATACAACTAACCATCTCCTTCTTGTGAAGTCCTGCTGCTTGTGGTCATTGGTCACAGGCTTTGTTTGATCATTTCACTCTGTGCTAGGATTCCATTATTTGAGCATTTCAGTTTTATACAGTGGGTCAAGATGCAGAAAGGCTACTTTATATTAGATCATACACAGTGTGTACATCAGACCCTTAGGTTTCCTTTAAGTGGGGGGCAAGATTCAGGAAGATATTAGAATTGGGGGAAAGGTAGTTGAATAGTTTTCAAATACTACTTTGTAATTAGAGCAAATAATAATAACCTTTTAAGATAACAGAAAAAGTTCTATGCCAAAGGCTATTTCAAAATAGAAAGAGGCTGGTGATAGAATGGTTCAGTTGGTGAAGCTGATTGCCAACAAGCTGGATTACTTGAGTTGGAACTTACATGGTAGAAGAAGAAAATTGACTCCTATATGTTGTATGACTTGCACATGTGTACCATGGCATGTAAACCCCCACACCCTAATGAGTGAATTGATTAAATGATTAAATGTATGCACTAGCAGCTGACAATTTGTCACAGGAATCTAGCCTGATACAACCATGTGCTGCTGAAGCACTTTCTACATGGCTGCTTCTTCCTGTCTTATGCTGGAGACTGGAACACACAGGGAAGGCATTTGGGAAGAGGGAAATGGACATGAAGTAGGAGGGAACACAAGCAAGAACTCAAAAGAGGTAGACAAATCTTGGTCCTTGCTGACTCTGGCTTCTTCAGAATTCACAATTTGCTGCCTTGTGAATTGAATTGAGCTTTAAAAAAAGTGTGATGTTTCAGTTTTACCTCCAGATATTTCTTACTGGGGTTAGGGAGATGGCTGATTTGTTTAAGAACTTGCTCCAGAAACATGAAGTCTTCATGTCAGAAGCCAGGCACAACACTCATGTGTCTATAATCCTACTGCAGGAAACGAAAAAACAGGAAGACCACTGGGGCTTATAGCTAAATTGATAACCTTCTTATAGATCATAATCAAAATAAAAAATGTTAAGGTCTGAGAGCTGGAGAAACAGATCAGTGGATAAAGTACTTATAATGCAAGCATAAGGACCAGAGTTCTGGTCCCTAGGATTCGCAAAATAGACCGTGTAATCCTAGCATGGGAAGATGAGGGGAGGAGACAAGAGAAACCCAGGAAGTTCACAGGCTAGCCTGGCAGGTGCGGCAGGAAGAAGCAAGAAACTCTGCCTCAAGTGAAGTTGCCCTGTGGTCTCCACAGACACTTGTGCTTGTACTCACACACATATACAAACACAAATGTGAGCGTGAACATACACATAGTGAACATTCACATACACATTATACCCACATGTGTACTCATACACATATGAGAAGAAAGGAAATAAGATTGAGAAAAGTTGCCAGAGATATTCAACATCAGTCTCTGCTCCCCATAGAAACACATACACACACCCTTTTCCACTCTAATTATAAAACTCATGGAATGAAGAGACTTTCAAAATAGTTTTGTTCAACCTCAAAACAACCATTAAGCATTCATTCATGATTTATTATGAGAAAGGATGAAAGCATGGACACGGCAGATATTTGGGTTCTTATGCTAGTCACAAGGTAAACTTATAATGAGGCCTTAGCATTTTTTTTTAACTGAAGAAGAAATCAAGATTTAGGTAAGGAGAGAATTGTTATGTAGAGGATTATTGCAAAACGGGTGCAGGAGGCTGGGATTATTGAATAGAGTTGCAGTAGACCTATGATCTGCAAACATCCAAACATCGGAGAGGTGAGAAGGGGTGTTCTCCTTTGCAGGGGAAAAAGCCAGCCTATGGAGAGTCCTCATGGTAAGGAGGAGACATCTGTGTGGGAGTGTTGGCTCAGGCTGAGAGTGGGCCAAAGTTCAGTCAGGTGATGAGGGCAAACTCAATTGAAGCTGGGTCAAGTTGGCTAACACAAACCTTGTTCTTTCAGGTCCACGAGAATGAACAGTTTAGCTATTTATGACAAAGGAATAAGCAGAACCATACAGAACTTTGTACGGGAACCTGGAATGGGCAGCAGTGTCTGCTATGGATCAGAGAACATTTCACCTGAGTTCAATTTATTTTGTGGAAGCTGCTAGGGGGAAGGGATGTTGTATACTGAGCAGGGGAAAGTAGAGACATTTGATCTGTTTAGTTAATAATTATTTTCTGATTGATTTATCAGTTGTGCTCATTGTTTTTAAAGCAAATATGGGGATTTTGAGGATCTGTATTTATCTCTGTCCTGGGTGAACAAGGAGGGCGCATGCAAGACCCACATGAGATGGGAAAAATGGTCCTTCTAGTGGACTGTTCACCTAATACAAATTGGGTTGGGAAGATTTCTTCTTTTTCTTTTTTCAGTTTTTTATTAGCTAATTAATTAATTAATTTTACATCCAGAATGCAGCCTCCCATCACTCCTCTCTTCCCACTTCTTACCTCCGCCACTCCCCCATTCCCCCATAGTCCCCGAATCCCTCCTAATCTAGGAGGATTTCTTTAACCAGTGTTTGTGCTAAGTCAGTGTTTGAGTAAAATCCAGCATTGCCTATCTTTTGGAAAACTGATCTTCTGAAATATATGTTGGCCTTAACCTTTGCTGCCTTGGTAATGAGCCCTGTGTGTTTTTCCGTGAGGAGCTAAGGCTTCAGAATACTGCATCTGTGGTTCCTGCTATGGCTACATAGACAAGTGTTGATTATTTTAGAGAAGAACCGGTGAGACTCTCACATTATACAATGATCATGGAAGAGTGTATATTCACTTTGGAAAAAAGATAAGCAGACACTTAAAAAGCCAAATGTGTGGCATATACTTCTGGAAATAAAAACATTCTCATGAATGTGTACACTTACTAGCATAATAATTTTATGAATAACTGTATATAAACCATAGCAGACCAAGTGTCCATAAGATTAAAGGATAAAAATTGATTCATGCATTATGAAATAGTATCTACTGATTAAAAATAATAAATGTACTGCTGAAATATAAAAAATTTTGTATTTGACTATTAAAAGAAACCAGTGTCAAAATATATTTTAATGTATTATATATGGAAAAATACAACACAATTCTGATATAGATTTAGTATATAAATATGTACTAAATAATTCCATTTAATTTACATTTTTGTTGAAGGACAATTACAGAGTCAGAAAACTACTGATGATTTCTTGGATACAAAAGTCAGATAAAGAAATTTTTGGATTTATGAGTGTGTAGAAATGATATGAGTTATTGTTATAGTACTAGTTAAACAAATGTAGTCATTTACCAAAACTCATAAAATTATTAATTTAAACTTGGTGAGGTTTTTTTTTTGTTTTCTTGTTGTAGCTTTGGAGTCTGTGCTGGAACTAGTTCTTGTAGACCAGGCTGGCCTCAAACTCACAGAGATCCACCTGCCTCTGCCTTCCAAGTGCTGGGATTAGAGGCATGTGCTACTACCACCTGGCTAGTTTTACCATATTTAACTTAAAATAAATGAGTTGAGCCAGAGAGATGGCTCAGCAGTTAAGAGTACTTAGTGCTCTTCCAGAGGACCTAGGTTCAATTCCCATCACCTACATGGCAGCTCACAACTATCTGTAACTCCCATTCTGGGGGGCCCAACACAAACACCCATTGCAAAACCCCAATATACATAAAATAAAAGTAAATTAATTTAAAAAATTGAGTCAAAGTTAAAGAATATCATTTATCTATCTGTCCCTCTGTCTGTCTATCTATCTATCTATCTATCTATCTATCTATCTATCTATCTATCTATCTATCTATCATCTATCTGTCATCTATCTATCATCTATCCATCCATCCATCCACCCACCCACCCACCAATCTACCTATTAATCTGTTTATCTCTTCGTAAAATTGTTCTAACACAATGTCAACTCTGATAATGGTGTACTATAACATCATTACAATCCACATGGAAGAGCTCAGAAGAAACACCTTCACCTTTTGATTTTCTTTTTTGTTGTCAATATCGAGAAATGGTGTGCTTCATCTACGTATTAAGATATGTTGACAAATAATGGGCAAGCATAGAGCTACGTGCTTTGCAGTAGACTAAAAGGCTACTATCTAATTTATCATGACCTCATTTACCGAGTGCCAGTGACACAAATAATCCATCCATCTTAATCCCTTTCAGTTTGTTTCAAATTTACAAGTGTTTGTATAGAAGAAAAGTCACTCAATGGACTCATCAGTGTATGCATCTCAGTGGTAGAGTACTTGCTTAGTATGCTTAAGGACCTAGGTGTAATCCCCAATACTACTGCACACATGTGCACACACACAAATCTATTAAAATTTGCCCATATATGCTTCAAGCATAGGTTTGTTAACATCATATACCCTTTATTGCTAGAATTGTAGATGTTATAAGAATGAAAGCAAATCTTCAGAAATATTTTTAAAGTTTGAAAAATGAAGTTCATGATCATTTCACAGAGATACCTATCCCTTCTTCCATTTAGTGAAAACTTTAGTATAGGGGGAACCCATAAAACAGTAGGAATATACCTTAAGTCATGAACTAGAATGGCCCATTATGTCTGCATGTATTCTAAGTCTTTTCATTCTTTGGCCTTTCTTTTTGAATTTTTTGAAAATTAATTATGTGAGTACTATATTTATATGATTTTTCCTTTCTCTGCCTCTCCTTTCTCCCTGTGCTCCACCCTGACTCTTTCTAAATTCCTGAGCATTTACTCTTCCATTATGGTTACATGTATACACACACACACACACACAAACAACTTGCCGAATTTATTTAGTGCTTTGCATTTCTGTTTAGGGCTGACCTCTTGGGATCGGATAACCTATTAGGAGACTCATTACTGGGATTGACTCCTCTTCTCTCAGCAGCCATTGATCATCTGTAGATCTTCATCTAGGGGAGGAGCCTTGTGGGAATTCTCCTGTCTACACTGGCATGTCAATTGACATTGTCATTTTTTCGGTCTTATTTTGGTAACCATATTGTTGAGATTTCCGAGGTATAGTTTCCCTGTCATATATTGTCTTAGTCAGTGTTCTATTACTGTGAGGAGACACCATAACCTCAGCAACTCTTATAAAGGAAAACATTTAATTGGGTCTTGCCTACAGTTTCAGAGATTTAGTCCATTGTAATCAGATTGGGGAGCATGGTGATATACAGGCAAACATGGTGCTGGAGAAGGAGCTGAGATTTCTACAACCTGATGCACAGACCACAGGAAGAGGAAGAGAAAGCCATTGGGCTTGGCTTAGGCTTCCGAAACCCCAAAGCCTACCTCTAGTGGCACACTTCCTCCAAAAGGCCACACCCCCTGTCCTAAGTAGTGCCACTCCCTAATGACTAAGCATTCAAATACAAAAGCCTATAGCAGCCTTTCTTCTTCAAATCACCACATATATAGAAGACACAATCTCACAGCAGATGTCTTTGGCATTTCTTAATCTCTTCTTTAGGATAAGGTAGCTGCCAAGATGCTCCATTTGCGAAGTTCACAGATGCTGCAGATGTTGGAGAAGTCCTTAAGGAAACACCTTCCCGAGTCCTTAAAGGTGAATGTGAAATGCCCTTGTGGAAAACAGACTATCAAGTGTCTAGGAACAAGCTGGTAACAAGAAGGAAATTTACTGAGCTGTGTTCTGGGTTAGGTATTTACTTTGTGGCCAACATTTAGTTGCTATCACCCTGAGGCAAGGGAGGCATACTGTATACATTTAACTGAAGAGGAAATAAAAGCTCTATTAAATCATACCACAATGAGTGGCAATGTGATCTAGGTGATCTTTGCTGACTCAGGGACATTCTTTGTGCTCATATAAGAATGGTTTTATATAACACAGGCTGTTTCCCAGAGTTGCAAGTTGACAAAGCCAGTGATGTTAATGTTTAATATTTTTCTGACTGATGACATCTGAGAAGAGGTTAAACCATATGACTCTTTCTCAAAACTAATACTTATTCAATTCTTATTTCACCAGCTTCCTAAGAAGCTCATGCATGTAATTTTGCATGAGCAGGAAATTATATTTTAGAAATGTATCCATAACTTTGTGTATTATAGATTTGCCCATAATTATTTATGCATATTACAAATGGCTAGAATGTTACTAAGAATAAGGAATATTTTGTATTACAGCAAAGATGTTGATTTATCCATAGAATTTACACTCATAGCAATAATGTCTCATTATGAGAGAAAAGTTGGTAGAACTAAAAGGAAAATAAACCCACATGTTGTGGGAGGCCACTTGTTTGTTTCCAGCTGCCCAGATTCTTCAAATAACCACCCAGAAACTATATTAATTAAATCACTGCTTGACCTACTAATGCTAACTTATTGGCTAATTTTTAATATTAATTTAACCAATTTCTATTAATCTGCATATAGGCACATGGCTATGGTTTACCAAAAAGATTCTGTCCTGTGTCTGTCTCTGGTGGGGCTACATGACTTCTCCTGACACTGCCTTCCTTCTCCCAGCATTCAGTTAAATCTTCTCTGCCTAGCTCTATTCTATCCTATCATAGGCCAAAATAGCTTCTTTACTCATTAACCAACAAAAGCAACACATATACAGAAGGACTTCCCACATCATTTCTCCTTATCTGTTTAAATAAAAAGGAAGGTTTTAACTTTAACATAGTAAAATTACATATAACAAAGCAGGTATTAAGAATTACAGGTCCAATATTTATATTTACCTTATCTTTTGTCATAACTAAGGAGAACTATAATTATAACCGTCTTTCTTCAACTCCATCAAAGACTCTAGCAGGAAATGATATTACTTAAGTAAACAGGAAGTACATTACAAGCAACTTCCAAAACTTTAGAATTCACAGAGACATCTTGCTACCTGGACAGTCATCCAAAATTCTTCTGTACTGTTCCATCTTCAGCCTACAGGCCCATAGTATCTGGCAGACTTTTCCATGAAGCAGAAAGTTTCAAAGACAGTTCTGCTTTCTTCTGTGTCCTGCAGAATGTCTGGCAGACTCTTTCATGAAGCAGGAACGCTGAAGGACCATCTCACCTTCGTTAGGCAGCTTCAGCAGTCATTTTTCTGTGAGTCCTGCAAGTCCAGTCAAACAGTTAAGGCAAGAGCAACTTCTTGCCCAAATGGCTAACAAACTCCATGAGGAAGCTCTTCGATGCCCATCATCCTCTTGAAGTAGATTGGTGCTGCCAGGAGTAGATGTGTCTCATGTCACCAGAACCCTAAGTTATTTAAATTCCATATTCTACAACTCTTTGAAGTGGTTGAAGATTACCTATCTATGCAGAATACAATTTCTATGTATTTAAAAAACCTGATTAGTTTAAGTATAAGTATGACAAACATGAATATTGACCTATAATTCTTAATACCTATATATCTTAAAGACTAAGACTTCATATTAGAATATTAAACAATCTTTAAACAACTGTGCAATGAATGACGACAATGACCTCAAAATGTAAACGATGTGTAAGTATCTTGATCAGAGGTCAAAATGTATATTTGTGGGAGGCTGCTTGTTTGTTTCTGGCTGCCCAGACTCCTGAAATAACCACTCAGAAACTGTATTAATTAAATCACTGCTTGGCCCATTAGCTCTACCTTCTTATTTGCTAACTCTTACATCTTAATTTAACCCATTTCTATTAATCTGTGTATTGATGTGTGGCTGTGGCTTACCAGCACGGTTCCATCCTTCATCTGTCTCTGGAGGGATTACATGACTTCTCCTGACTCTCTCTTCCTTCTCCCAACATTCAGTTCAGTCTTCAGTCTTCCCCACCTAGCTCTCTTCTACCCTATCACAGGCCAAACAGCTTCTTTATTTATTAACCAATAAAAGCAACACGTATACAGAAGGACTTCCCACACCACCCACAAGTATAATTAAGGTTAATACTCTTCTTTCCTTCATGTTTAGAGGTGATGGGAAAGAAAATAAAAGGAGAGAATACCTAAGAAACATTGAGAGCTCACTGTATTAACTGCCACTTTAAGAATATTTTCATTAGCTATAGCAGAATCCACATTCTGTTCAAGTGTTTGTAACATTTTTCAAGACAGAATATGTAAAATTCTAACATATATATGTATATATATACATATATAATATAGATAGATATAATTTATATAAATAGCAATATAGAGTTGAAATATTACTGAAATCACATTAAATGTTTGAAAAGTACACGTTAAATTGTATAAAATATAAATTACATTAAAATCACATTAAGTGTTTTAAAAGCACATAAATAATGTTCTTAAAAGTAATGGAATTTAGGGTCTGGGGAGATGGCTCAGTGGGTAAAAGTGCTTGTTTTGCATGTGTAAGAACCTGAGTAGGGAATCCCTAGTACTCAAGTAAAAAGTCAGGCATGGACATGCACACCTATAATGGCAGTGCTCTAGGTAGTAGAGACAGGCAGATCACTGGAACTTGCTGTTTGCTAACCTCCTCCAGGTTCAGTGAGAGACCTGTCTCAGAGAGACAAGGTGGAGAGAGACAGAGAAGGACATCCAGTGCCCTTCTCCAGTCCTCTCACCTCTGCACACACATCAGCATGCATGTTTGCACATATATCACACATGCACATGCATACATACACACATTCAAACAAAATTATATTTAAAATTAAAAAGTATGCTTGGAAATTTCCCAAATTTCTGCAAATTATGAAAACACAATAATAAATGAACTATGCTTCCAAGTTAGAAAAAAATTAGACTAAATTAATTAAATAACAATGGAAGTACAGCAACAACCAATGTGTTGATTAATGGGAAACACGTAGAACTCCTTTTACTAAAACCATACAAATTATCTCAATTACTTGGCTTATTTACAGCCCCCAAAATAGAAAAATTAGAGCAAATAAACCCTCTAGCAAGCAAACTGTAAAAGAAAAAAATACACATTTTAACAGAAACAAATGTATCTAAGTAAGAAATAAAAGTATAGAAAATCAATCATCCATTTATAATCGGATTTTTAGAAACGTTGTTGATAATATTATAACAAAACTGACCTAGAATAGAGAAGATAAATATTCCCCAAATGAAGAATGATATATGAGATATCTTCAAATATCTAAAGGGCATCATAACCATAACAAGGATGCTCTGTAATTGAAAATGTGCTCATAGATTTCAGATATGCTGTTATTATGTGACAAATACAAGTTAACAAAGTTTTCTTAAGAACATACAGTTAACAGCCAGGCACACTTTTAATACCAGCACTCGGGGGGGGGGGGAGGGGGAGGGAGGGAGGCAAAGGCAGGCGGATCTCTGTGAGTTCAAGGCCAGCCTGATCTACAAGAGCTAGTTCCAGGACATACTACAAAACTACAGAGAAACCCTGTCTCGGAAAAAAAAAAGAATATACAATCTTAAATAGTCCTGCACACACAGATACATATGAAAACATTCTGACAAAGGAAATGCTTTATCTAGATAACATACATAAAGAATAAATAATACCAATCACACACAGCATTAGTCAGCATACAACAGAGGAGGGACTATGACTAAATTTATTTTATAAGATCAGAGTTATTATGGTAACACAACCAAAACTATATACCAATAGAAAGCTATAGAACTATATTCATCATTAACATAAACACAAAAGTCCTCAAAAATGCTACCAAGACATCAAGATGTATTTAAGCAATAGGTGTGACCCCATGCTTAATCAATACAAATCATCATACCAATACACTACTGAATAAAACTCATAAGATCCTTCTTAGTTTCTTTTCTGAGACAGAATCTCACAATGTAGCCCAAACTGCCTGCATCTTACAAATGATTCATGCTGGCCTCAAATTCATGACTATCCTCTGCGTTAGTCTTTAAAATGCCGAAATTACTGGTGTAAACCACCACGACCAACTTTATTGTGTGTTTTAAGACAAGAACTTGATAAGTAGTCCGAACTGCCCTTTAGCTCATCATCACCCTGCCTAACCCCCCTGATTACCTACATTACAGGTATGCACCTCCACACCTAGCTTGACGTTTATTAATAGGCATAGAGAAAATGTGAGACAAAATATAGTAGTCTTGATAAGTATGAAACTCAGAAAACTAGGAAAAAAGAGAATTTGTTCAATTTGACAAAAAAGCATGTAGGTGTGATGCACAATTAAAATCTTTTTATTTAGCAAAGAAATGGAATATTTTGCTTAAGATGGATAACCTAAGCAATGATATCCATTCTCCCTGATCCTATTTAATGAAATATTGGTGACCTAACCAGTATATAATTCAATAAAAATAAATTAAAGTAGTACATATGATGTTGGTTGGGGGAGGTAAAAAGTAGTGTGTTCTCAGAGGACATGATCACCTAGAGTCCACAAAACAATCTTCTGGACTTAAGCTTAATAAGGCTAAAGGATTCGAGATCAATATACAAATAGAACAACTCAATTCTATTTGTATACATTAGCAATTAATGAATAATGGGAATAAAAAACTTAAAATAGTTACCATTTACAATAGCACAAAACAAAACAAAACAAAATCCCCACCAAATGCCAAGCTCCCACAGCAGTAGATAGAGATTCTCAGTGATTGACATTTTCTTTTGTTAACTACTGGTATATCTGGATTCTTCTGGGCAACAGGAAGATAATGTATTTACTACAATTATTATACTGATTGTGAGGATGAGAAACACGAACAGTATAATATTTTGTTAACTGTCCAAGATGCTCTGAAAATATGTATAGCTGTTATTCATAGACTAAGCCACATGAGATTCCTATCATTCTAAGTCACTGCTCCTTTTGATAAGCAGGGAAAGCATCTGTCGAAATGGCAGAGTCCATGGTTCAGGTTTAAAATACTTTGTCCAAAAAGTTCATTGGGCAGTTAAATAATACCACAGCACAGCCATACCTGATGGGGATGGGAGAAGTCATAATCCAGCACAGCTGTTTGACAAGGATCCAGCAAAGCTGAGCCACATGATGGCCGCCATCCACCTTTGCTTTTCATCTCCACCATTGCATACATGAGAGACTTTTAATATTTGTACAGTTTGGGAGTATTAGATTGTTGGAAAATTTCTTATGAATCATTCATGCCTTCTCCCTGAAATTCTTCTCCCTGAGAGAGTTCTGAACATATTATCCCCCCTGCCCCGTTTTAGGGAGATACCCTTATCTACTTGAAGATCTTCTTTATGCCTTGGAGGCTGTGACACACATAAAGAAGCCAGAGGTCTCTTTATGAGGCTAGGAGATATTTTTGAAACATCTGTCCCTGTACTTACCTAGGAACAAGATAACCAAAACAAAGTAAACGTAAAAAGGGCAACAAGATTCGGTGGGCTAGAGGAGTTGGCCACAGATTGCAAGCCTCTTCCCACTACACACTCAAGCAATTATGTGGCATAGACAGCAACAAAGTTAGACTAGCTGAAGCTACCTCTGTCCTACACAGAGACTTATACTGACGGGCAAAGAATGATGTAGAAAGGTGATATAAAATTACATTATACCAAAATTTGAATAATAACTGCAGCAGCTTGGGCCTAAGGATATTTCTTGGGCACTGCTTGGAACATGGCAGTATGCCTAGAATGGCTTGAAGATTGTTTTGGTCAAATGTCTTTGTAGTCAAGGAAGTAACCAGCCTGAGAAAAACTTGTCATATGCTTCTAAATTCCTAGAAACTGGGTTATGAAGTTAATGAGTAAATATAATAATTCTGTTTATCAATGATGTCAAAACTTGAGGGAAAATGATTGGAAATAATAACTCTATTCTGTCATAGTTTATTAATAATGACTAAAAGATGAGCAAAGAAGTGAAACACTTATGCAAAAACAAAAATGATATGATCTATGTTTTGGAACATCATGAATGTATCCCTATTTACTAAATTCTGTATAAATAAAGAAGCACTCTGACTGCTAGACAGTCTGGCTGCAAGATTCTCCTGACTACCACGGCCTGGCTGACTCCCTCCCTCACCAACCCCTTACATTCTCTGCTGGGATTGTCCACTACTGGGGATGGCTCCTGGATATACCAGTCGTTGGTGTGCTTGCACACAACGTGAGTAGAGTCAATAAGTCAGTAGTTTTGTAGGCATTCCTGATCAATATTCACTGAACTCACAGAAAAAGAAATGTGTGTATTGTATCTACAGTCTCTCTCTAAACAGTGAATATTGAATAGTTTATCACATGTCAAGTGTAATTCATCCCAAATACTAACAATTAGGCAGTTATTAAACATTAGTATGTACATTTCTGATTTTGACATGGAAGTATGTCTTTGTACAGTACATGTGAAATTCATATGCATTAGGAAATTCCATTGTTTATAAGGTTGTATGGGCATATGTTTATATGGCAGAAAACAGAAATGTATAGGACAAAATTCTGTGATGTGAGACTGAGTGATTACTAATCTACTGTATCTGCATATTTACCTATTATAAAGTTTCATGATTTTTGTTTAAAAATCCATTTACTTGAATATTGGGCTAGATATTGTATAATTTACACACACTAATTTTATAGAGATCAGCATTATTCTGGCAATGAAAGGCTTTTACTGTCTCTGTGTAATGAGCTCACTGTTCAGCGTGTTGAAATATTTAGGTTTATGGGACTGTCTTCCACATGAATCAGGGAAACCCATTCAAGCTCAAGGCTCTGGTGGACAAGTGGCCTGATTTTAACACAGTGATTGTCCGTCCTCAGGAGCAGGTGAGTTACATCAAAAAGATTATACTCCATGGTTAAGTGAAGTGACTTGCCGATACCTCGGTGGGGAGCTCCAATTGCCATTATCTCGGTGGAACTTCCAATTGCCGCGCACCTCGCCCCCCCCCCCCCCCCCCCGGTGTCTGCGCTCTGTGTGCGCTAGGACCCAGTTCACGAGCTTTGGGAAAGGGGCTGGAGGTTGAGAATACAGATGCAGAGACCGACCAACACGCAGACCTTTAAACACTGATACCAAAGCCCCTTTTATTAACACCATGTAGGCTTAAATACACTGCAGTCAATGGCCAACAGGTGATAATCCCATCCTCTGATCCTCTAACTAGGCACAGCTTCTAGCAACTTCACTTAGAAGGTTCTAGCAGGGCAGAGAAGCTGAAAGCCAGGACTCAATTAGTCCCAACAGGGACTCACTGTCATTGGAGGCTGGCTTAGCATGTATAAACCAGCAGTTGTGGTCCATCAAATCACCACATGGCATGTCAGTCGATGAGAAAAAAAAATGGACAGAATCTATTACTCTTCTTTGACAAAACTTCTTAACAGTCTATGTGTAGGAGGAAAGGACCTTAGTACAAAATAGAACTGTCATTTGATCCTGTAAATCTCTCTTCTGGGTACAATATAGTAATATTATAAAATCAGTACAGCAAGTATCTACACTGCCATATTTATAGCAGAATTATTTGTAAATAACCCTAGAACCTACAGACAGATTAATGGGAAAGTGATATCTGTACAAAATTAAATATTATTAGCAGAAAAAGAATGGTATCGTATTGTCTTCTAAAATAGAGATTAACCCGGAAGACATTGTGGTAAGTGAAATTGGCAATAACAGAAAAAACAATATAACCTCATTTCCATGTGAATTAAAATATTTTTCTATGTATCTAAATATTTTCTAAATATCTGAACAAAACTCAAACCCATGTAGCTGATGGTGGTGAGCAAGGAGCTACATGCCTAAGGCATCAAACAAGTAGATCTGTAGGCTAAACAAGTCCAAAGACCTAATGTGCAGCATGAAGTTTTATGCTATTTATTGCTAAATTAGTTAAGTTGTTGCTACTCTTTCCAAAGAAAGAATAGTAATTATGTGATACAACAGATCTGCTAATTGTCTTCAGGATATTGAATGTTATTATTATTATTATTATTATTATTATTATTATTATTATTATTATTGACGAGGATGGTGATGAGGAGGTGTTTCATAATATCACATGTGCCTTCTTACATACACAGGAACATTTCTTCTTTTTTTTAAAAAAACTCACCAAACAACATACACTATAAACTAAATTTTAATTTACTTAAAATATAAAAATGAACAATATTTGGTTTTGAAATATATCGATAAGATGGATTGTCAGTTGTAGTTTTGTCTAGCTGCAGGGGCATTTCTGTGCGGTATTTTCTGGCTAGCCTGCCCTGGTTGAGTATTCAGTAGTTCCCTTTGTCTTCAAAAAACTCCCAGCTGTCACTTGTTTACTTTGAGAAGAGCTTTTTGAACAACTTATGTGATGATTTTGCCAGAAATACACATTTTTTTTGAAGAATGGTGTTTTGTGCTTTACAGGTTAAAGACATCACGTTTTATTCTTGTATGACTTTATCATGCATATATAAAAATTCAAATACAAATTCATTTTGCCAATTTCAATACTGTTGTGATATATATATATGTATATATATACACTGGAGAGATGGTTCGACATGCAAGTTTAAGGACCTGGATTCAGATCTGTAGCAGCCCCATAAAGCTCTATATAAAACAATGCTTGTGTGTAATCCCAGCATTTTACAGAGAGGTGGGGCTTGAGAGCCAGGAGAATTCCTGGAAGTTTGCTAAACAGGTGGACTGGCCCTGATGTCAGCAAACAAGGTGAAGGTGAGGTGTGGCCCTCAAAGATGACCTCTGACCTCCATGCACATCTCACATCCCTGTGCAAACACTCTGTACACAGAGAGAAGGAAAAAGGCACATTCGTTTTGAGGCTGTTTGGAACAAGACTTATTTTTATAAGGCCTTTGACAGTATCACTTTTCTTCTTTTTCTGACTATTACTAAGTTAGGGAAGAATACTTCATTAACCATATTTAATTGAGTTTAAATTGAAATGGTACCTATACATAAAATTTAATAAGTTTTAATAAAAAAATTTATAAATAGAGTGAAGTTTTGGTCTTGGTTTCATGATGTTAATAATTAAGAAATGCTGCTGACATTTGAGGAAAACATCTCTGCTTGGGGTTGATAAATAAGTGTGAGGAGTGGTTTTTTGTGTGTGTCTGTGGTTTTTGAGACATGGTTTCTCAATAGCTATGGAGCCTATCCTGGAACTCACTCTGTAGACCAGGTTGACCTCAAAGTCACAGACATCCACCTGCCTCTGCCTCCCAAGTGCTGGTGTTATAGGAGTGTGTCCCCGCTGCCCAACGATAAATGAGTTTGAAAATTCTTAGCAAGGATGGGAAAGGAATTCCTGAACCCCCAACCCTGACGGAAGCTGGTGGCAGCTGAGGGAAGGAGAGCCACTTCTCTTGGGTCAGTGGCCACTGGCAGGATGCCTGTGTTCTGGTGGGTCACCTCAAATCCATATACATCTGGATAGTACTAACTGGACTCAATGATTAATTTTAAAGCAATAAATAAAATTGGAGAGGCTATATATTGGGAAGGGTCTTGAGGAATTGGAGGGAGTGGGAACGATATGACTAAATGTGTTGTATATATATATGAAATTTTCAAATAATAAATTTAAAAAATAATAGGAAAAAGAGTAATGAAATTCTGAAAAATATTGAACATACATAGATAGTATAATCAATTGTATTGATTCTATGTTGCCCAACCCACTAGGAGATGACAGATGACTTTGATCCCCATGTCAACACTTACCAGATCTATTCTAAGGATCCTAAGAACTGTTTGGAGTGCCTTGGCACACCAGAGACCATCAACTGGAAACAACATCTGCAGGTTCAAAGTAAGAGGACAGGAGTTGCATGCTGGCTGCTGGGACCTCCTGCATGAATATCTGAAGGATCACTCTCCACTCTGGGCACCTCACCCTGCAATCTTTTTTTTCTTTCTGCAAACTTCAGAATATAAACCTAATGCATATTTCTTGGTCTGGCTTCCACTACTTCTATGGTGGGAACCAGTTTCTAATATTACAGACTATGGTGTTAATAGAAGAAGCAGCAAATGTGTAGCTTTTGGTGAACCTTATGTGTTTTGAAGACATATTTAGAAGCCCTCAAGACAATAGATGGGAGACAGAACTTTACCTCTGACCTTCTCTTCCCGGAACAAGCAGAACAGCTTACTGTGACATGGAGATCTTGCTAGGGCATTCAGGTTTATGTCTAGTGTGGTTACAAATGTGCCCTCTGGAGTTAAAACCACAGAAAACTGCCCAGCTCTGCCTCCAAGTTGTGATTCTTGAGCAAATGACTTTCTCGTTATTCAGTGTCCTCACTGAGTATAAAAATTCTGGTACTGAAAGATTCTAAAACTTGAATCAATGAGAGGATCCAATGAGGTATAAGATTAATGCCTGGGCATGTAACATGCTTGAACAAGATTGACTATTATTTAAATATGCTTCTGTTCATAGAGACAGTAAAGATTTTTACTGTTCTGCTGGACATAAAAGAAAACATTTCCAGGGAACAACTTAGGGATGGACACATAGGAGTCATACTCGAGGCAAGGTTTTCTTACTAAATCTTTGGACTGCTTTTTTGACCTAGAAGGACAGTTATGTATTCCCTGTTTCACTCCCTTCTAGGTTCACAATCCAGCCTGAATGAAGCAATAATGGGCATTACAGCTGCTAAGCTGGTCAAAGTCAAGAGAACACAATGTATTCTTTACATTATGCCCCAGACAGCAAAGAAACTGGTTCCTTTCCTGATGGAGGACACAGAGAATTTACATCATCAATCTGGCAGACCTCGGGCCATGTGAGTTGGTTTGAAGATAATTCTGTTCCACTCTGATCTCTCACTACCGCAGCTCCCTAACTTCTCTACACAGCCCATTTCTAAGATAATTGTTTTAAAAACATAACAGGAACCGTGTGATGTATCTCCTCAAATACCACAAACAGTTTTTAAAAATTGTTTTCATGGTTTTTTTTTAAATCTGTGCATGTATATGTGTGTTGATGTGTTTGTACATACAGGTAGCAGTCAAAGGAGAACCTCAGATGATGTTTCCGTTGAGAACCATCCGTTTTCTGGTTTTGCTTGTTTGCTTTCTGAGACAGGATTTGACTAAGGAGGACAGGTTGTCTGGCCAGCCCGGTCCAGGAATCCATCTGTCTCCTGCTCCCCAGAGCTATGATTGCAGACTTGTACTTCTCTACCCAGTTTTAAACAAACATGGGATATGGGGATCAGACTGTCCTTCCAATATTCACATATTTCCTCTCTCTTGCTTTTTTGCTAGGTTTTTCATACTTTCGTTTTTATTTCCACTGACAATGCTTTTCAGAACACCCCATAAAAAGCCACTTATAATTGTTATGACAACTATTTTTATTTCTGTTATTGTACTTTAATTAGCTGAAATCAGATTATTTAAAAATATCTATTTATGTGTTGCTAGAAGCCTGCAACAATATTTAGACTTTCACAGGGTAAGAATATTGAGTGAGTGAGATGTCTCAGTGGACAAAGTCACTTGCTGCAAAGCTAATGACCTGAGTTAGATCCCTGGGACCCACATTGTGCAAGGAGAGAACCTACTCTCACAGGTTGTCCTCTGACTCCACATGTGTGACCCAACAATATGAAAAAAAAATGCAAAAACAGTAAGAATTCTTTTGTGCTGTTCAGTGTGAGACAGAACAGTAGCCGACATATAGAAAGTTCTGATTTTGGAAATGAAAATATAATCGCATCTTTTCCCTCTTTTCATCCTGTGCCTCCCCTTCTCCTTCTCAAATTTATGAGCTCTTTTTCTTTAACTGTTATTTTTACAATGTGTGTACAGGCACACACACATACACACACAACATATTCAGTCTGTTTAGCATTACGTGTATGGATATGATTTCATGGCTGACCAATAGATTGGATAACCAATTAGGAGGTTCATCCTGGGGGAAGACTATTTCTCCTGCTCTCAGCATTTGTTAGTTTCCTGTAGTTCTTAGAGGTACAGCCTGGTGAGGTATTTTTACCCTTCCATGTTAGCATGTCAATTTATGTTGGTTCTTGATAAATATATGTTTAATCAATGCACCTCACAGAGAAAATGTTTTCCAGTTAAGAACGCTCAAGCAAATTATGTTTTTTGCCTCTGTTGATTTCCAAGGTAGCACAGAGCAGCACTAAACCTGCTGGGCACTTGATGTCCAGATGCTCAGTCCCATGGCCTTCTGGTTCAGGATGCCGGAAGAACTTTGCTCACACACTGTAAAGGGCATTAGGAGCCAGAGAGCACCTCCTCATCCAGAGTAGCACTGGGTCAGCTACTCAGGGGACAGTCAGGACAGGAGACCTATTTTTAGAGTTCACAACAGGAAATAGTCTCTGATGGCGGAGTGGCTTGCTCACCATGAGGATGATGAAGGGCATGGTTGTGACCCGAGTCTGTATCCTCTGCTTATGCATCCTGAGAAGAGTTTCTATCTCATTGTAGGTGTCTTCACACTCTGGTAGACATAGGGAGGAGCCGTCTACATGCCATGCTGTTGACCATTTGAACTTCTACTTTGCCTTGCATTAATATGGCAGCCAAGGGCTCTCAGATATCAGTGTTGAAGATTTCATGATATGAGGGCTGGGAAGAAGGCTTAGTCTATACAGTGTCTCCCATGGAAGCCTGAAGATTTGAGTTATGATCCCTAGAATGTTCATAGGAACCCAGATGTGATAGTGTGCCTGTTACCCTGGTGCTGATGTAGTAGAGTCAGGAAGATAATGGGGGGATCACTGGACAGTGATGATCTTCAGGTTAATTGAGTGAGACTGAGCAAGACTGAGAAAATACACACACACACACACACGCACACACCACACACACACACGGTTCCATGATTCTAAAGTTTTGCATTGCTGCTTTCTAGCATGTGCTTTTGAGTACTTATTCTTTATTTGTCCATTTTTCTTATCTGCATGATGTCGTCTGCTCTATTTCCTGTGGGAAGGTGGGTCATAGCAATATCAAGAGCAGTACTAAGTTCTTAGTAAAGAGTTAATTATTTTTGTTGCACAGTCAGTCCTGGGTACTTGTAAGATGAAACCTCCCTATAATACTAATTTCTGTCTTCTGATAGAATGGCTATTAATTCATCCCTTCTAAAGAGAGTAGCAGGGGAATGGAGGGGGGTTAAGTTAAGTTAGTTGCCTACCTAACTGCCATAGCTGGCCAGAAACTGCCCAGCTTCTGCCTACCATCACTGCGACGCTCACACCTCACAGGAGACTTTTATGAGGAGGGACAAATATTTCTCTGTGTATGAAATTCAGGGCTGCTCTTTTTCGTTTTTCTTCAACAGCAACCACGAGATGTTTAAACTCTCATCCCTGGATGTCACCCATGCTGCTTTGGTGGATAAGTTCTGGCATTTTGGTGGCAACGAGAAGAGCCAGAGATTCATTGAGCGCTGTATCCAGACCTTTCCTAGCTCATGTCTCCTGGGACCTGAAGGGACCCCTGTCTCCTGGGCTCTGATGGACCAAACTGGAGAAATGCGAATGGCAGGCACTGTGCCTGATTACCGGGCACAAGGTCTCATCTCCTACGTCATTCATACGCAGACCCTGGTTATGGAAGAACGTGGCTACCCTGTGTATAATCACATGGACAGAGCCAACAAACTCATGCAGAAAATGAGCCACACTCTGCAGCACGTCCCTATGCCCTGTGACTGGAACCAGTGGAATTGTGTACCTCTGTAACTCTGGTGCGGAACATGTGGCTGTGTTGGATAAGCAACAATAAAGCTGGAGGGGAGAATGGTGCACAAAGAGGAAATACAAACTGTAATAAAGAATAAAGGAGTGGGCACTGGGCTCTGGGGAAGCAGTATGAACGGGCAACAGTTTGCCACAGTTCCCACCCTTACATTGCCTTTCAGATCCAGCAGATGAAGCATGGGCAGACCTCTCCACTGAGCCACTGACTTTGTTCAGTTTTCTACACTCTGAATGTCAGTGACACTTCTCTTCAGCTGCACATCACCATCCTCTTGTGGACTGTTGTCCGCGATCTCTCCTGTCAGGGTATGGTGCTGACTTGTGGATAGCGCACACTTTTCTCTCACTTTTTCCTTTACTTAGGAGCTAGAGTGCTCTTCATCAATAGGTGCTTTGGACTGATCACTTCACAGATAGACCTGTGTTTTCTGTTCAATAACCATGATAAATATTTCATAAGTGAATATATGATAGTACATGGTATGGTATCTGAAAGACAAATTTTTTTAGCAAGTGCCAAATACTCTTTATTTGCTATTATACACAGAGCACAGTAAGTGCTTTTCAGTGGTGAAAGGAAGCATCCTTTGACTTAGGAAATTCTAATTAAAACGTCATTGAAACAAGAATAGACAGCTGCTTCCTGACATCTGGCCATTGCCTGTAACAGGCCATTGAGTACAAAGTGAAACACAGGCGAATCTTCTTGTTTCTGAGATGTTGACAGAATTTCCCCAGTGTTTAAACATAGTCATATGCCCAGCTATATAAATTTCAGTATAAAAATATTCAGTAGATTTGAGGTGACACTCCCATTTTTGTGGAAAGTAGATCTTTAATAATTTAGTCCAATCTTACTTTGAGAAAGGGAAAGCAATGATAGTGTTTATGCAACTGGAATTGTCATTTTTATAAAAGATCATATTCACTTTTCTATAAGTCAGTTTCACTTAAATCAGGACTGTCCAACAAAATATTGTTAGCCATTTATGATCTGAATTTTGGTTATGAATTAAATTACGGTACACATTAAAAGTCATGAGATGAGACATTTGTTTTGTAATAAATAAGACAGTGGAGTTACTCCTTAGTAGCCTTTTAAAGATAAGCTATTAGGTCTGCCCTCTATCCCTTCTTCTTAATTCCAGCGAAGATCATTTTTGTTCCAGGGATGTACTTTTTGAAATTATCCAAACACTCTATCAGGGCATCTCCTCCCCAGGTGACGCCTTTGTTCTTGTTGGCATCTGTGTACGAGAATCCAGCCACCTGACCCATCTTCCTCCCAAACAGACTGCTGAGATTTGGTCCAGTCTTATGCTTGCCTCCCTTTTCCACAGTGTGGCACTGGGCACACTTCTGAACAAAACTCTTCTTGCCTTTCTCAACGTCACCCATTTTTAATTCACTCCCAGGTGATCAACACCAGAAACACTGCAACCCATAGATGGGCATCCGGCTCTCTAGCCCAAAGACACACCGACCTGCACCTATGTACTAGTGTTGGTGGAACTGCATTTGTTCTTGGAAGACTAATTTTTAAAAAAAAATTATTGTGTATTTTAAATATGTACAACATGAGGTTTTAGAAAAATAGACAACAACAATGTTTTTTATAGTGAATCAATTTCACAAGTCCATCACCTCACATATATTTACTATATTTTGATTTGACATTAAGAGCATCTACAATCCCATTTAGTCTGAATCTCATATAAAATTCATGGCTATTCTGATATTTATGTTATAAGTTGATCTCCACATTTTCTTATCAACATGAGGGAAATTTTGTAATCCTCTGATACACATACTATCTTTCTCACCTCATGCCTAACCTCTGTGACTAACATTTTGTTCTCTATTTCTGTGTTTTTAAAATTGTTTTAAGTTCCATATATAAGTGAATTTACATGTTAGTTTTTCTCTGCCTAGTTTATCTTAGCTGGTATATCACCCAAGTTCATTCACTTTATAGAAAATGGTAAGAACTTGTTCTTGTCAAGGATAATATTATTACATTGTGATATATATTTTTTCATGCCATAGTTTTTTTCATCCATTTGTCCATCAACAAACATTTAAGTTATTTCCATATCTTGACAACTTATGAATTTCCCCACAATGAGTTTGTCTTCATGAAGTAAAAATAGGGTTGTCTTCATTGTATATATGCCCCCAAAAAGTATTTATGGATAACATGATAGTTCTGTTTTTAAATTTCTTTTAAAGTATTCATATATTTTTTCATAATGGGTGTACCAATCAACATCCACCAACCATGCAGAATAGTTCCCCCTTCTCCATACCCATGTCAACAAGGGTGTTTATTCTTTGAGAACTGCATTTTTTATATACAATATAAATTGATTATATATGCCCCCATTGCCTCCAACTGCCTTTATTCCCACTTCAACACATCTCCCTCCCATGCATCAAAGGAGTTAAGAGACTTGTCCTTGGGAAGAGGAGAGTGGGCACATTCCTTGTCTTTTTACTGGCTGTATGTTTAAGTAAGTGGATTAAAAAAGACAGAAGAGGAGGGGTCTGATTCTGTAGTTGGGGTAAAGGAGGACCCCTTTCCTCTGTTGTAGTCAGCCTTTGTGATTTATGCAATCCATGTGTTTACCCTGTTAATGGCATCGAAACAGTTCAACAGAGTTATGTTATGGATAAAGTCAAGGTTAATCACAATGGCTTCAAACCCAAGTGATGCAAATGAGAATTAATGTGCCAAGGAAATACAAAATCTTGTTGGAAGAGGGGGCTGCTTGTTGGTTTCTGGACGCCTCCAGCTTAGCCCCAAAATAATCACACAGAAACTGTATTATTTAAATCACTGCTTGGACCATTAGCTCTAGCTTCTTATTGGCTAACTCTTACATATTAATTTAACCCATCTCCATTAATCTGTCTATCACCACAAGGTCATGGCCTACCAGCAAAGTTTCAGCACATCTGTCTCTGGTGGTGACTCCATGGCTTTTTAGCTGACTCAACCCTTCTTTCTCCCAGCATTCAGTTCTGTCTCCCCAGCCTACCTAAACTCTGCCATGCTATAGGTTCAAAGCAGTTTCATTACTCATTAATGTATTCAAACATAAAGAGGGAAATCCCACATCAGAATCCTAAAATGAGACAGAGAAAAATACATGCAGACTTTCACAGTGTCAGTACATTGACCAAAGGAACACACAAGCTCTTTTGACTCTCTGTGTAGGTAGTAGCTACTTGTTTCTCTCGTTCTCTAGTTTGAGCATCTCTTCTTTCCTTAGCAGAACTCATGACTAGCTGAGAAAATGGTATTGATTCCAAGAACCCGGAGACTGTCAAACTTCCTCCCTTAGTTGTCTCGTATAGCAAAGTTGGGACTGAGAATAACTTCCCAATGAACCTTGTCTGTCCTTAGAAAGGTGGATCAAATGTTAATAAGTGTTTTCAGTTTAGAATGGAAAGCCTCTGCCACCAGGAAAATGAAAATCAAAATTGCATCAAGATTCCTTCTCACTCCAGTCATAATGTCTAGCCTTAAGAACTCAGACAGAAAATGCTGGCAGCAGTGAAGCAGAGAAGGAACCCTTAGACACTGCTGGTGGCAATGCAAACTAGTTCAGCCACTCTAGAACTCAATGGGATGTTATAGAAAGAAATTAAAAGCACCAGGTGTTTCATCCATACTAAGGCCATAACCAGAGAGTCAAAGCTTACTACAGAGATGTCCGGATGCCTGTGATTCATTACTTCTTTATAATAGCCAAGGTATGAATCAGGGATAGGCAGCCATCAGTGGATGATGGATGGAAGAAATGTGTTACACACATACACACACAGCAGAGCATTGTTTAGTGACAAAGAAGAATGAAATTGCATTACAGGAAAATGTATGGAACTGAATGGGATCATCAGGGGAACAGGCAGGCTCACATAGATAAGCATCCCATATTTTCTGTCATGTGAATGACAGAGTAAAAAGAGAGGTATTCTAAGAGATTTAGAAGAGAAAAGAGGGTAAAGTGAGAGGAGATAAGAAAGGGTTATAGAGGAGGCAGATACAGCATATCATTTACTACTATGGAAAGTCAACATATATCCTATACATTATGACAATAGCATAATGCAGCCTTTTCGTGGAATTTATAAAAGAATCAAAGATCTCTGTACTGAATATTTGTCTATCTTCACCACAGTAGCCACCAGTTTCTGTTTCCATAAAAGTGAGATTAAGAGTTCTCTTCAATGACTTTCTGTCTAGACTGTTTCTTTGTGGGGAAAGTGGGGGAGACAGATGCCACAGAAGTCTTCTATGTCGCTCATTCTCAACTATAAGTCTGCAGTCATAGATACCACTGCAGCAGAAGCTTCCTTGACATTTACAAAAAGTGGCAGCATGGATCATGAACTTCCACATGGGTTTCTGGAAATAGCACAGGTATCATAGACATCCACATGGCCTCTAGCATCCATCAGCATGGACCATGAACCTCAGCATGGTGTCTGGCAGCAGTTAAGATCACAGATATTACTACAATCTTTGGCTACAGTCTGGACCCCTGGCACCATTATGGTCCTTGACCACAGCACAGGTCATGGACATTGACGTGGCCTCCAGTAGCAACACAGGCCACAGACATCAGCATGACTTCAGGCAGCAGCACAGACCATGGACATAAATATGGCCTCCTGAGGGAGCACAGACCAAGAACACAAAATGGTCTCCAGCAGCAGAAAAAGACTATGAAGAAAGGGATTTGTATTGCTCTAACACTGCAGGAAAGCCATTTTCTTTTATGTTATACATTTTAAAAAAGATATGCTATTAAGCTCTATAAATCAAACTTCCTGCCTTGTGCTGTTGGTGATATTTGATGGTAAGAATGGGGAGGAAGAGGATATTGCTTACCTAACTGTCCCTTCCCACTCTGCTGGCCTATAATACCTTTGTTTGGCATACTAATGGTAAGTGGGGTGAAGAACAAGGTAATGTTTACAAGAGAGAAGTTCAGAGAGCAAATGTTAGCCTCATCTTGCAGAGCCAGTTCCTACAGCCTGAGACCAGCGAACGAGGGAAGGATTGGATTTCACTAGAGCTAACAACAAGAAGGTTTTGTAAACGTGCCAAGTGCAAGGTTCACATTTCCAGCCCCAGCTCAGTTAATTTTTGCAAGAGGCACATCAACGTTCACTCACTCTTCAGATTCCCACTGAGCCTGCTGCCTCAGAAGGGTCTTTCACCTGAAGTCCATTTTTACAAATACTTCTTGTGGAGACAGCTTTCCAGGTGAGGATGTGTCTCAGAGCAGGAGATCTGTGGGATGAAAGGGTCTGGAAGCCAAATGAACAACATAAGAACTGAAGGTCATAAAATGTTTTTTGTGGGTTTTAACTGTTCATTAAAATTATCTGTCTATCTATCTATCTATCTATCTATCTATCTATCTATCTATCTATCTATCTATCATCTATCTATCTATCTATCTATCTATCTATCTATCATCTATCTATCTAATCTATCTTCATCATCATCATCATCATCATCATCATCATCATCATCTCTTTATCTGTTAATTTATATTGGGAGCATGTGTACCACAGCCCTTTTGTGAAGGGCAGTGGATAACTCTGAAGAGCTGATTTTCTCGTTTCACCTTTATGTGGGTTTTGGCGATCAAATTCTGGTCACCGAGCTTGTGTTGTAAGTACCTCTGCCTGCTGAGTCATCTCCCTAGCTCATGGTATCAGCTGTGCTCATAGAGCATCCAAACAAACAAAATTCTCCATACCTATTGACATAATGGACTATGTTAATTGCTTCACTCTGGCAGCATACACACACATACGGCACCCACAAATTTAATATAAAGCCATGTACTGTGTGTATGTTCTACAAAATCATATGGTATACCTTGAATATATAAAGCAACATGGTTTGTAAAAGGTCATTATTGCTTTTTAACATTTTCCTTCCCTCAATTAAATGATATCAAAATGATCATACTGAGTGACTCTCAGAATATGTACCAAAAAAACCTAAGGAAAAAATAGTAATGTCACTTTATGAAACATATAGCATGCACGAATTCTGTAAAAGGTATTTTGTCAAGTATAATGAAAAATCCTTAGATATTTCTTCTATGCAGTACTGAGGAAGTATTTTATGGTTTTTGGAAGTGGGTGAATATAGAATCTACTGTGTGGAGGTACTGCACTATTGTTCTCAATCTTTCCAGTTGTATTAAAGAGTACTTGGGTTTCTCTGTCCACTACTGGTAAGAGGGTAGCAGAAATACACCCCATGGTGATACCACTTAATCAGATAGCAAGAAAAATGTAATCTCAAGATTGCATCTGAAGACTAATTTTGAATTTACCTACGTTTTCTTTTAAACTTATCCTTTGAATGTTACATAGACACTATTTTGTGCCCTATATATTCTGATTGTACTTTTAGTAGTAATGTTATGCCCACATTCCACAATCCTATACCTATATTCACTGTATATCATGCCTGTAGGTATGGTGTAAATGTTTGAGAGTTACCATATTTGCTAAATTGGATTTTACATTTTCTTTCCCTAGTCATTAACATTGAAGTTCTATTTAGCACATACCTGTGTTTGTATAGCTTTAAAAAATTATGTTCTGTTCTTTTAAACTGCTTTCATCAGATTAATTTCTATTCCTTGCATGGCAGGGTCAGCAACTCCAGAGTTCAATTAGAAGTTGCTTGTTGCTACTCAAGAATTTGCTTAGAGAGGAAACTATGCAAGAAAGGCAAAAACAACAGCAGGCTAAAAATAGCAGCTGGAATGTGACTTGGCTTTAAAGTTTTGTCATTTATATCTAAAAATTTCAAAGTATTTTACAATGAAACATTTTCATCAAGATATGCAATATTAACTCACATGAGGAGAAAGAAAAGGAGGAGAAACATTATCAAGAAAATAAATAGCACAGTTGAATATTGTTTATATGACCAACTCTCTGCCAAAACACGTTGAATGTTAGTCAATCTAATTTTAGCCCCACAAACATTCTATGAGCCCAATGATGCTATCATCCCATCTACCTTTTAAGAAACCAAAGCACAGAGGCTAAGCAACTTCCTGAGTAACACCATTACTGGAGATGCCAGGAGATACAGCAGCATACTGGAAACTCTAAAGAATAAAATGCACTTGTTCATGTAATTTGAATCCAATGGTGAGATGAGAAACTGAGAAGGGAAGAGAGAGACTCCTGTGTTCCTCCTGCAAGTCCGGTGCTTCCTTAGGGCTGGTGAGGATGTTAGTGAATGGAAGATTTGGCTAGTCATACAGAACTGGCTACTGTTGTTTCTGTCATTAATGAATGTCCGTTTATTATTTCTCTAGGCTAAAGTGTCCTCATGGCTGTCACACTGCAAGGTGCACAAATGCTGCAGACGCTGGAGAGATCCTTGAGGAAGTATCTTCCTGAATCCTTAAAGGTGATCCCAGAAAATGTGAAGGTCAACAAGGAGAAAGTGGAAGTGAAAGAGTCTAACATTTATGCTTCACTGTTTGTGTGTGTACGCACGTGTGGCGTGTGTGGATTTGCTTGGTATGATTGATGTGTGTGTAGTGTGCACACGCATGAATAGAATATGTGTATGCATGAAGAGCTCAAGGTTGATGTTCAGTGTCTTCCTTGATCACTTTTCACCTTGTATGTTAAGACAGGGTTTCTTGGTGAACCTGGAGCTGACCAATTCCATTAGTATAGATAGTCAGGTTGTTCAGGAAATTCCCCTGACTCTTCCTTCCAAGCATTGGGATTACAAGCAGGATGTCAGCACTACTAGGGACTGTGTGGGTACTGGCGATGAGAACTTTGAACTGGAGTTTATATGTGGAGTTTATTGTGTGGTAAGTGCTTTATCCATTGAGCCATCTTCTCAAATCCTATGCAGTATTATTTTGAGCCAATGCATATTTCATATTTTTCCAATTTAATTTACATAACTTTTTTCAATATACTGCCACTGTATCTGTGTCATTAGTTACGAATATGGAGATATAGTTAGGTGAGGTAGTGCATACCTTTAATCTCTGCACTTGGAAGCCAATAGGCAGGTGATTCTCTGTGAGTTCGAGGCTATCCTATCTACATATGCGTTCTGGGCCAGCCAGGGATACATAGTGTGAGACTCAACCATCATAAGAAGACTGTGGTGATATAAAGAAGTAATTTAAACATTATGGCAAGCAAGACTTCTCGAGAGACAGATGCTTGCTTGCAATCCTGACAGCCTGGGTCTGATCTCCAGATCCCACTTGGTGACAGAAAAGAACTAAGTCCTAAGAGTTACCATCTGACCTCCACACACATGCTGTGACTCATGGATGCCCCACAAAAAAATACATAAATAAAATGCAAGAATATGTGGGGTATCTATTTCTTCATATCTCAAATGCATTGAGTTGTAGCACAGTTTTGGGCACACATGGACTTTGCCCTCTGCTGACTGATAAAGTTTTTCTGTTGCTTCTTTTCAAGAATCATTCCTTAGCAGCACTTGAGATTCCCTGGGGTTTTCCTTCACATTTAGTTGGGGGTACCTATTAATGTTTAATTTGTTCCTTCCAGAAGAATGCTTGCCATGTGAAAATTAAACCATCTTGAGTTGAAAGTAAGAAACGGGTCTGTTACTCTGAACTTAACGCATATCAGAATATTTTGAACTTGGCTTCCAGTTTTTCTCCACAAACCCAGTGCAACTGAGTAGAGACCTTAGAGTTGACTAAACTGTCAATAGATATAAATGTTTACATGAGAGCTGTATAAAAGCAGCTCTAATGGTGGATCCACATGCTTGATTTTTTTTTTTATATCAAATGAGGTGAGGTCCACTCCAGTGGAGCTTAAGTATAACCATGTTTGTGTGTGCTGCATATGTGTGTTTGTGTGTATGGTTTATGTGTGTATATATGTATGCAAGTGTTTATGTTTTTTGTGTGACCTGTGTGTGCTTGTGGTGGTGTATGTATGGATGTATTTATGTGGAGTTTTTCTGTCCTGACTGCTTGGTTACAAATAAACACACTGAGGCTTACATTAATTATAAATGCTTAACCTATAGCTCAGTTTTATTACTAACTATCTCTTCAACTTAACTCATTTCTATTCATCTTTGTGCTGCACTGAGGCTTGTAACTATTACCTCTATCTCATTTTGTGTGTCCAATTACTTCTGCATCCGGCTGGTGACTCCTCTGGCTCCACCCTTCCCCTTCCCAGAATTCTTCTAGTCTGGCTCTCTTGTTCAATCTATTCCTCCTCAGCTATTGGTCAATCATCTTTTTATTAGCCAATGAGAGTAATACATATTCATTGTGTACAAAGATTACTCTATAACATATATGTGAATATGCATGTATTTGTATATGTATTTCTGTGTGTATGTGTGTTTGTGTGAGTAGTTGTATGTGTGTAAAATAGTGCATTGTATTTTACCTGTTTGTATATTTCTGTGTGTGTTTGTGCTCATCTTTGTGTGTAAGTAGATGAATGTTTGTGCTTGTGTGATTGCATGTGTGTGGCTTAGAGGAAAAAATAGTTCCAGATTTCTGTCACTCTATAAGGCATTTTGTACAAAATTATTTAAGACAAAATGAGTAGATTTGGTTCTTACTTTCTCTTATATTTTTGGTTGTGAGCCTAGCCTTTAGCGGCTGAGCCATCTCTCCAGCCCTCAGTTATTACTTTCTCTAGCAGATTTTCTACTCCCTTTTATAAAGAAGAAAAATATTATCATCTATAATTTATAGACTGTTTTGTTTTATTTAATAATAAAAAGCTATTTTTACATGCTCACTGATATGGAATATTAAAATGTAATTTCTCTATTCCTTATGTTAAAGGTGAATATCAAGCATTTTGAGAACATTCTGGGTGTTTCCCAGTGGTTTTGTTGAGCCCATGGAGT